TGCTGATTGTTTTCCTAATGTTGAACCATCTGTGCATCCCTGGTATAATTTCTACTTGATTGAATGATTTCTTAGATATATTTCAATAATCTGTTTCGTACGATTTAAAAAAATTTTTGAGTCAATATTCATTAATGATTGTGGCCTATAGTTTTGGGTCTCCCCTCCCCTTATTTTATCTTTCCCTGGTTTAGGTATTAGGACTATGTTTGTTGCATAAAAAGATCCTATTAGGGTTCTTTCTTTCTCAATTTTTGGCAATAATTTGTAAAATATGGGTACTAACTGTTTTTTAAAAATTTGATAGTTTTTTTTTCTGTTGCTCACTCCCTCACCCCCCAGCACTTCCTTTACAGGTAGTAAAGGAATTGTTTGTTATGTAAGATCTCTATCTAGTCATGATTTTCTGGATATTTTTATATGTCTTTGAAGATATTCCTCCATTTTGTTGTGTTCTCAGTTTTCTTAACATATAACTGTGCATAATATATTCTATTATTTTTATTTCTTCTGGTTTTGCTGTGATTTCACTTTCCTCATTTGCTATTTTATTGCTTTGATTTTCTGCTCTCTTCTTTTATATCATATTACCTACGGTTTATAATTTTTATTAGACTTTTCAAATAACCAGATTTTGGGTATACTTATCATTTCTATGATTGCTTTTGTTTCTAAAACTATTCATTTCCCCTCTAATTTTTAATAACCTCTTTTGTGCTTATTTTTTTATTTGTTGATTCTCCAATTTTAATGCATTTTCAATTAATTTTCTTTCTATTTTGTTAATACATGATTTTTAAACTTTTAAAAAACATTTTTATTTAAAGTTTTCAGTTCCAAATTTTATCCTTCCTTCCTATCCCTCCTCCCTCCTTTAGATGACAAGCAATCAGATGTAAGTTATACATGTGCAATTACATAAAACATTTCTATATTAATCATTTTGTACATGAAGATTCGAATAAAAGAAAAAAAAGGAAAGAAAGAAAGTGAAAAGTAGCGTTCTTTTAACTGTATTCAGTTCATATCAGTTCTTTATCTGGAGATGGATAGCATGCTTTATCATGCCCTAATACACATACAGTTCTCAAGAGTTACAAGTATCATGTTCCTGTGCAGGAATGTAAGCAGTTTAAACTTACTGAATAACATGCTGTTTTCTTTCTTCTTTACCTTTTTATGCTTCTCTTGTATTTGAACATCCAATTTTCTATTCAGCTTTGGTCTTTTCATTAGGAAAGTTTGAAAGTCCCCTATTTCATTGAAAATCCATCTTTTCCCCTGAAAGATTATGCTCAATTTTGCCAGATAGTTGATTCTTGGCTGTAATCCAAGTTCCTTTGCCTTTCACAATATCATATTCCAAGTCCTCCCATTCGTTAATGTAGAAGCTGCTAAGTCCTCCAGTATCCTGACTGTGGCTCCATAATATTTAAAATGTTTTTTTTTTTTCTGGTTGTTTGTAGTATTGTCTCCTTGACCTGATAATTCTGGAATTTTGCTACAATATTCCTTGGAGTTTCCATTTTGGGGTCTCGTCCAGGGGGTGGTGGGTGGATTCTTTCAACGACTATTTTACCCTATTGTTCTAGGATATCAGGGCAGTCTTCCTTGATAATTTCTTGAAAGATGCTGTCCAGGCTCTTTTTTTTTTTTTTTATCATGACTTTCAGGGAGTCCAATAATTCTTAAATTGTCTCTCTTGGCTTTATTTTCCAGGTCAGTTGTTTTTACCACGAGGTATTCTACATTTTCTTCTACTTTTTTTCATTCTTTTGATTTTGTTTGACTGATTCTTGATGTCTCATAGAGTCATTATCTTCCACTTGTCCAATTCTAATTTTTAAGGAATTATTTTCTTCAGTTAGCTTTTGTACCACCTCTTCCATTTGGCCAATTCTACTTTTTAAGAAGTTGTTTTTTTCAGTGGATTTTTTTTTCCACTTGAGCAACTGTATTTTTTTTAAGGAATTGTTTTCTTCATTCAACTTTTGTCCTTCCTTTTCCAATCTGTTGATTATCTTTTGCATAACTCTCATTTCTTTTCCCAATTTTTTCTTCTATCTCTCTTATTTGATTTGTAAAATCCTTTTTGAACTCTTCCAAAAAGGCTTTCTGGCCTTGAGACAAATTCTTATTCTCCTTTGAGGCTTCACATGTAGGTATTTTGACATTGTTGTCCTCTTCTGAGTTTGTGTTTTGATTTTCCCTATCAGCATAGTAGCTTTCTATGTTCAGGGCTCTTTTCTGTTTTTTCCTCATTTTTTTAGCCTATTTCATGATTTTTAAAGTTGAGTTGTGCTCCTGGGGCACAGGGAATACTGTCCTAAGCTTCTTGGACTGGGGACCAGGGGCTTGGTCACTGGCTTTCTGCACCAGGGCCTCTAGGTCTCTTGGCTTGTCCACTGTGCTGGGGTGTCCTAGCCTAGTCATGCCTGTTATGCTGGGCTTCCAGGGCTGGCAATTTGCCTTCTGTGCTGGGACTGGAGGCCTCACAGCTGGCCTGCTGTGCCACTGGCCTGCTGAGTCAGGACTGAGAGGCCTTGGTTGTTGATCTGTGCTGTGACTAAGAACCTCTCACTGGCTTGCCTAGATACTGCCTGCACTGGGCTCTGCTCCCCTTTTACCCAAGTGACACAGATCTTTCCTGAAGTACTTTTAAGTTACCTTAAGCTGGAAAATTGTTTAACTCTATCTTTTTGTGGGTTCTGTTGCTCCAGAATCTGTTTAGAGGCTTGATTTCACAATGTTTCCAAGGGAAACTGGGGACAGCTCAGGCAATTCCTGGCTTCTCTCCATCATCTTGGCTCTGCCTTCTCTGGGTCTGTATCTTTTTTTTTTTTTCCTGGTCCTTGAACCAATTTCTATTCTCATTGTGTTATTCTCTGTAATAGATATATTGATTATTTCTGCCTTTTTACATTTGTTTTAAATATCTCTTTGCCCTAGTACATGGTTGATTGTTATAAAAGTTCTAGGTAGTACAGAGGAATATGAATATTCTTTTTCTGTCCCATTTAGAAGATACCATATTTTCATTTAATGTTCTTGTTTTTTGCTTCTCTTTCCTAGATTGTCTTTTGCTTCTTTGTATTTGTACTCCCAATCTATTGTTCTCTCTTTTGTTTCTTTGGTGAGGCTTGTCATTGCAGATTCAAGTTTTTCTATCCTGCTCATTATTTTTGCTGTGCAGGACATAAATATTGTTCTCATGATTACTATTTCTCTTTTAAATCTCTCAGGAATAGCATATTGTGGTTCCATGTTTTCCTCAACTTCCACAGGGTTCTCTGTGTCATCAAATGTTGGATCATTTTCCGTCATTTTACAGTATTTACTGATAGATGCATGAGCTGATTTACTAGATCCAGAGGCCACATTTCCTTCTGTTATTGCTGCTTTTCCTATTGATTTATATGGATACAGTCAAGGTTTTTAGTATTTATTTTTCCTGTAATCTTTTGTGCTTTTAGTCTCTACCACTCTCCCTCTCCTTATTTTCCTTATTGCTTATTTCTCTCTCTTCTCTGATAGTGGTTTTCCTAGAGGTTGAATCTCAAAGTGTCTCAGCCTCTTCCTTTGCTAGGCAGTTCATAAATCATTAGCCTTAGGTCTATGCCCCAACTGACTTTTAGGTGATCGGAACTGGACCTAGCTGGATGCAGTGCTTTCTCCCTCAGAGAAAGTGTTCCTTGGTGGAACACTCCACAGTTCTCCACATACACGGTGTTCTGTCATGGCAACTTGTCTCACTTCCTCTGTTCCTTAGTTCTTTGGCCCAACATTGGCAGTTCAGAGCTACTAGCAATTCAGAACTTTGCAGCATTGGGGCTTCCAGGTTGCAGCCTCCTACAGGCTTTTGCTCCTATAGGGCTATGGCCAAGCTAGCTGTCAAGGCCTGAGGAAACTTCCAAAGTCTGGAGCCAATGTCTCTACAGCACTGGAAAGAGGGAGGAGGAGGCAGGGTATGGGGTGAGTTTTGATTTAAGCCTATGTCATGTCCTTGGATCTGCTAGTGTGGCCTTCCTTTGGATAGTGTGGGAGGCGGGATGAAAGAGTGAGCTTAGGGTCAGTGAGTTCCTGGGTTTGGGTTTGTTGTTCTTGGCTTTATTTTTAACCTTATTTTAGATTCTTGCTATCCTTGACCATGGAAACAGCTGAAGTTGTTTTATTTTGGGCACTTAATTTGTGTTCTGGGGAGGTTTAAGAGGTCATGGGGATAAGAGAAAATGTCTAGTTTTCCATCTTGTTAACCATGAGACCTGGAACACTATCTTTTATTATTAATTATTTGGGATGGCAGGAGAGCAGTTAGCAGGTAAGTTTATCCAGAGCTGGTACTATGACATACTTTTTTTGTATTCTGTATAGGATCTAAAATAGTGTTCAATAAATATTTGTTGAATAAGTTAAGCCTAAAAGGCTTGCTTACATATTACACATTATAGATTATTTTATTTACTTGTTTATAAAAGATACTATTTGTGTTGCTCATTTGTTAAGCCTGAATAAGTGATCTTATATAGTATAATTTTTTTTAAGTTCACCTTGAGTACAAATTCTAGGCCTGCTGATAGCTCCTGTTAGTTCTGAGAGAAAATGTCAAGGGAACATAAATTGTTTCATTTATTTTACATAGTACAGACTGGTGGCAGATGGGGATCAGTCTGAGTTATTACTAGCCTTAGTTTCTCACCAAGCAGGCTAAGCTCTTTTAAATGCTCAGGATCCTTTGACTCCTTCCTTGGGATAGTAGAAATGAGTAGTGAGAGACAAGGGTTATTAGTGAGAGCATAAAAGAAAACAGAAACAGAGATGGAAATGGCCATGATGGGAAGAAGACAGTGGGAATGAAGAAGGTAGCACAGAATAGAAGATCAGGTACTTGACTCAAAGCCAGGAAGACCTGAGTTCAATTCCAGCTTCCTAGTTGATTGATGGTGGCAGAATCCAGCAGCATTTTATTATTATTCAGATCTAAACCCAGGTCAGAAACTTACAGAGCTCAGACAAGAGGCAGCAATTAGACTTTGTCTTGGATCAGACCATTTTGGGAGCATTGAGATCTTCCAGCCTGAGGTATGCCTGAGATCCTGGAATAACAAAACAGTTGATATCAGAAGAAAGGAGCAATGGAGCAAGTCTAGATCTTCCCTTCAGTAATGTGCAGATACTGGACAAAAAAACAAGGCTGGAGTAAGGAAGTAAACTGGAATAATGAATGAACAACAACAACAACAAGAAAAAGAATGCCACAATACAGAGCTATTATGCTAATTCTGCACTTCAGAATATCTACAAGGAAATCAATCCTTCAAGAAAAACACAGTCTGGGTACAAATTGAACTTAAATTCCTGGAAGAGATGAAGCAAGAGTTTTAAATAAAAGTTAAAATGTTTTTTATAAATGACATGAGAGCATTAGAGGAAAAAAAATTTTAAAATGAAAGCTGTGTAAGAAAGAAAAAGAATTAACAGCTTGGCAAAAGAGGTGCAAAACCTTCCCAACCCAACAAACTCTTTGAAAATTAGAATGGGTGATATAGAAGCCACTGACTTGTTAAAACAACAAGAAATATTTAAACAAAGTCAAGTGACTAAAAAATTGAATAAAATTTAAAGTATCTCATAGCAAAACCAATTGACCTGGAAAATAGATTTGGGAGGAAAGAATCCCGGACTGCATGAGTACAGATCAAAAAAAAGAGCCTAGACATCATATTTCAAGAATACTTCCCAGATATCTTACAACCACAGGGCAAAGTAGTTCTGCCTTTCACTCCCATATAGTCATACAACTTTTCAAAGAAATACTCATTTAAAAAATTGTTTTTTAAATGAAGTTAAGCTGTTCTTATAATAACTTGAAAACTGTATGTTTTTACTCTTGTTTCATTATGTAAATGATTGTCTATGAAGTGGGCAATATGGTAAAATTTCATGAAAAGCCACATTTTTGACTACTGCTTATAGATGCCCTACCATTGATCTATATTAATATAAAATCAAAATTCTCCTACGTTGTATCATTTTAATTTTTTAAAAATCTGTTAATTATATTGAAATTGACTCAGTATGGCATTGTTATCAATGTTTACAAGATAAAAAATGCCCCTTAATATCAGTTTCAATAAAGTGTCATACAAATGTAATGAAATGAGGATCTTTATATCTTTTGCTTCATTCACTTACAATGCAAAATAGAATATTTTAGTTTCTCAATCAGTTACAAAGGTCTTTAGATTTATGGATGATTCTCTGTCCTACTGTATTATCTACAAGTAGAACCTCTGGAAGCTGCTTTGCTTATGATTTCCCATAAATCATTTAAACCACATAAATAGATACATTTAGCACCAATGTTTCTTGTATCAAAATTTTTAACTTAATAATTCTGTAAACAGTCTTCCACGATGCAAGCTATTGCTTTGATGTCAGATACATGGTTTTTGAAAAACAAAGTTTTGTTTTCTTTATTAAAAATATCTTTTTTCTGGAAAAAAAATGTCTTATCTTACCAATACAATGTATTCCAAAAATCTTAGTACAGTTTTAAGCTTAAATACTTATTAAACTTTAACAACTTAAAACTACACTAAGATTTTTGGGACACCCAGTATTCTTCATGTATACTTTCATGAATTTTCAATTTATTGAGTTTTGTGCTCTCTGAAGCTAAATCATTAATACAGAACAAACACAATCTTCTATTCGCATCATTAATATGTACTGGAGAATCCCTCTGGTAAATATAATGGATCATAGTTTCTGTATTTGGACTTTTCACTTTGCTTTTCTATGTCTTTTGTATATAAAATGCCTCTACTGTCTCTTCTTGTGCTAATTTCAGCTGTTCCAATGAGTTTTCTGTTCAACTCAGCTAAGTATTTATACATTGTTGTTATTTCACCTAAAATTAGAGAAGTTAAAAAATATAGACAAGTAAATTTAAATTGAATGATTGAAATTACAAATGATCATCATAACTATTTCTAACAGTTTAATTTTTAAAAAGTTGCAGTTTGTGGGAAAACTCTATTTTATTGTGATGTACTTACCAAAATGAATAATATTGAGAAATGTGACAGCTATTATCACTCCAATTAATTATGTGTATAAATGACTCAAATGGCATACTCTGGAGGTCAATGAAAATTTTGTGTCAAAGGTTAGGGCCTGATCAACCGCAGAATAAAATTTCTATTTCTGGAGAGCCTGATAAACTTTGAAATTTAATCCATCACACCTAACTCAAGTCCTACCCCCTCTTATCATCTGTTCATCATTTAAGCAGGATAAGGTACCAATTCCTATACTTCATGCCACTACCATTAGATCTACCAGTCATTAGAACTGTTTCAGCATCTACCTGAATGAAAACTTTGAGGCAAAGGGCATGTATGAAAGAGATTTTTAAAAATCAGCACAAATGCAGTGAAGGCAATGAGCTATTTTTATTATATATAGCATGGATTTTAGTATTTACAATTGTTAGCTGACATTAATTGGATGCTTGGAGAAAGGAAGGTTTTCTAATTCAATTGTTTGGTTAACTGCCAAGTTAGCCAAGACTTTATCAGATTTTTTTGTCTGATTCGGTCATCATTAAGGGTCTCTATATAGTGGATCATTTCAAATTCCTGTTATAAGAGGAATATATTAAACAGAATTTAATCTTTGATGGAAAAGGGCCATTTAAGATCTAAGTGTCATTGACTATTGTATTGCCAGTCCTTTTAGGTCAAAGAGAAATAGTAGCAAATGCACCCATAATCAAGAAAATCAGCAAATTCATTAATATCCTACTCCCATAGTGAGATTATGAATTATAATATTTGTTAGTACTGTACTTTGATCACAAATGTGAAAGAGATTTCTGGTTAAGATGCCTATGTGGTAGTTTATACAGGAGCCCAACATTTAAAAAAAAAATCCCACAATAACCAGAAGCTGTGGACACTGAAGAGTCATCCTGCCAGAGAAGCCAAGATGAATATATGGAAAGACTACAAACCAAAGACTGGACCACACACCAGTGCCATGACTGAGGAAGTTCCAGGTAGTACAGAAATCATCTGCCACTCTGATCAAAGAAACTTCAGGGGGTATGGGGATTTGGATGGAGAAAATAGAAACAGCAGTGCCATGACAGAGAAATTCCAGTGAGGAATGCAAGACTACACAGCCCCTTGATTGTGGATGTCACAAGGTGGACAAAAGATCTCCCAGTACTCTCATTGGGGAAGCAAAAAGGTCAGAACACTACCCATTGCCCTGATCAAGGAAGCCCCAGTGGTACAAAAGACTACCTAGCACAATGATCAAAAAAATATTCAAGGGAGACAGAGTCAGAACAAGGAAGCCTCAGAAGGGAGAAAAGAAAGAAACAGTACTCTAGAGGTTCAAGGAAAGCAAGATATAGAATTCAGATTGGGCACACTGAAGCCTGATTGTGCTCTGGGGGCAGACACAGCAAGAGAAGTAGAAGCCAAAAGCAGGAACCCAAGAAAACGAGGTCAGGTCCAAAGGAACTGACAACTCCATCCAAGAGTGTTGGTGGAAGCATAGCTTGATGCTAAGTTCAAAATCAAGAACTGGGCATAGAGCTATGATTAAACAGAAGACAGTGAACATTATGAAGAAATGTGGTGGATCAAGAATCATCCAAGAGGAAAACTCAAAAGAAAACAATAACTCTACAACAACTATAAGCAAAGCTTTAGAGAGGAAAATAACCTGACCACAATGACTACAAGAATATTTAATTCTACCTGAACAAGTAAAGAACTTTAAATAGCTAGAAAAACATTCAGTATTCATGGTTAGGATGTGCCAATATAACAAAAATGACAATAATACCAAAGTTAATTTCCAGGTTCAATGCTATACCAATCAAACTATCAAAGGAATAGTTTACAGATTTCAATAAAATAAAATCTATGTGGAGAAGCAAAAGAATTAGAACAGTGGTTTCAAACTCAAATAGAAATGGGAACCACTAAGCTGTATACAAGGATCCCTGTGGTCACATATTAATTTAGAAAAAAAAATATTTGTTAATGTTATCCATGTACTGTTGTATTTTTATTTATTTTGTTAAATATCGTCCACTTATATTTTAATCCAATTCCAATCAGACTGTTGCAAGTCACAGAAGTCACATTGGACACCTCTGATCTAGAATACCAAAGGAAATAGTGAAAAAACAAACAAACATATGAACAAAGGAGAAATAGTATTTCTAGACCTTGAACTATATTATAGAGCAGCAGTCATCAAAACCATTTGAAATAAAATATAGAGTAGATCAATGGAATAGACTAGATTAGAAAGAATAAAAAATAATGGAACAGAATAATGCATTGTTCAATAGACCCCAAAACAGAAATTGATTAGGAAAAAACTCTCCATTAGATAAAAACTTGTATGAAAACAAACAAAGAAAACCCAGTCTGACAGAAATTAGGCTTTCACCAACACTTTATGCCATTGTTTCTGTTCTGGCCAGAAACCCTGAGGGTCTTCCCCTCCCAAATTGATTTTTTTTTGAAAAGTAAAAGAGGCCATTCTTTGCCTCATTTCTTACCTAGCCTTAATCACTGAATGGATGTTGCCTCAGTCAAACTGAGACCTGGGAAAGACCTTAACTTAAAAAGGCCACTGCATCCAAAACTATCTCCAGTCGTCCTGATCTATATATTGCCACTGCACCCAGATGCCTCTGGAAGAGAGTATGAAGCTGGTGACTTTGCACAGCCCTCCCTCACTCAAATCCAATTCACTTGCAAGTCATGGCATCACCTTCCTGATGTCATAGTCCTCTTCAAGAATGAAGGACAAACAACAAAATGCCATATTGCATACTACATTCAAAATGGATAGATGACATTAATTAGTATTAAAAATCATACTCCCAAAATAATTAGGAGGAAATCAAATCACATACCTTTTGTAGGTATAAGTAAGAGACATATTTTTAACTAAACAGGATAGAAGCAAACAAAAGATAAAAAGGGTAATTTTGAGTATATGAAATTGGACAGCTTTTATATAAACATCTAGGATAAAGGGAAGTGGTTGAATGGAAAAATAA